GTTCATCATGTTCAGAAAAGCGATAAATAAAATGTACAACAAAAAAAGAGTTATGTCAAATGGCAGGTCAATGAATCACAAACCCAGATTCAGTGCTTCCTTTGAAGAAAGCTCAGCAAAGCTACGTAGCTTACCGAGATACACGGAAAAAAAAAGAATTAGCTAAATTAGCTAATGCATTCGCTAATATGGCCTTAGATTAGAATATTATTAGCTTTCCTAGCTAATTCCCAGCTAAGAGAGCTAAAATAGTAGCTTTCACAGCTAGTTGCTTTATTCTGTAGACAACTGTCATGGCTAATTCCTTTTTCCCGTGTAGGTCGAATCGACGTATCGCCGCGAAATCTCTCGCTGATCCGATCGTCTTAGTTATCTTCCGAGCTTGACCCAAAAGCAGTTGCTCCAGTGCGTCAGATTAGAGGAGGGGGGGGATTGACTGCAGGTGCGAGAGAAAGCTTTACTGTTCGTAAATCATTGTCATAACTCGAGATGATTCACAATCAGATGAGCAATAAGACGAACTCGCCTCGAACAGGCACTACAGCCCCGCCCAACGCCTCGCCCAGCCCCCACCACGCCCCGCCCTGCTCCGCCCCGGGGCCGTCCCATCATCGGGAGCCAGCCGCGACACCGCGGACTGATAAGAGGGTTTAGTGAGTCGACCGCAACGAACGCAGAGCACGGCACCGCACGCGCCACGCGCACCAGTGCCGCCAACAGGCGAACGGACCCGCCAGCTCGACCGCGCCCCAGCCTCGGCCCCAGACACGGCTCCAGCCTCGGCCCCAGCCTCGGCCCCAGCCTCGGCCCCAGCCTCGGCCCTAGAAACGACGCTAGCTTCGGCCGCAGCCTCGTTCCCTGCCTCGGCCGAAGACACGGCTCCAGTCACGGCCCCGGCCTCAGCCCTGTCCACAGCCGCAGCCACAGCCACAACCAGAGTCGCAGTCCGCGCGCGCCAGGCCAGAAGGTCCAAGGGGCACGGTGCAACAAGTTGAATGTCGCGGTGAGGAACACCAGCATCACGATACAGTCTTAAAACACGCATTGTGACGGCACAGCCGTAAGACAACCCAGTCCATATGTATTGAGTACATTTTGAAAGTAAGCATATGATTTTGTCCACAAAAAAACAGAGTTTTTGAGCACATCCAGAGGAGATAAAAATTTGTGTCGCTTGACAGTTTGGGTTGACAGTTTCACACACTTTGTCCCAATGTTTATCTTTTCTGGATGTGATCAAATGTGTCGCTTATTTGGGGGGACACAATCGTTCCACCCCTATTTAGAATGTAAAAAAGAACAACATCCTGCCTAATTTCACGTTTGTCAACTGCTTATTTTTTCTGTAAAACGTCAAGTAGTGTAAAACTGCCCCCTACGCGGAGAGCAATAATTTTTCACCGGCGCGGCGCGCCACTTGGCAGCCGTCCCTCAAATAATGAAAAACAACGA